GTGGTTTGGTCAATCGTCGAAATTGAATATTACGGATTAACGAGGAGAAAAAGTGAAAAAAAAAAAAAAAAAAAAAGGAAAAAAAAACAAAAAAAAAAAACAACGTCACGTTGCAGTAGACGGGCAGCGTGGTGAATCATGAATTTTCGATGGTGGTCGGGACAAAGGCACGGGTCGACGATCGGCAATTATAAAATCGCCGTCACCTGTTAGGAAATTGCTGGCGATAATAACGCTGTTCGTTACCACTTCGTTCTGCTACCACTTAACTTCTGCTACCACTTTTTATTACACTATTCCTATTACGATGCTTGATTATATGAGAATATAGTTGTATATTGATTAATACAATTCTTTTCGATCCTCGTGGATAGATTGGAAAACAAAATCAGATTAGAACGATTCATAAAATACATATTCATACAATTCATAGTATTAAGTTCGTAGAATAGGGCATAATCAATTGTCTTGCTCTCGCATGAAAATTAAATTGTTCAGTTCAAGTTTCGTAAGCTCGAAACGGGATTCAACGTGAAGAGAGGTACGATTATTTCCCAAATTTATAAAATTTCAATATACCAATTTTGAAATCTTTATCAAAATCTACAGATATTACCTATTAAATGTTGTAAAAGATACTAGACCGTGAATTTTGCATATTGTGCACGTTCGAATCGTATAAAAATCCGCCGTTTGTCAATAACAATGTTATTGAATTATTTAGTACAGGTATCATTTCTTCTCATCAAATCGAGCAAACTAGACAAATATTCAATCGCCTGCGACCTAACATGCACGCTCTTCCATCCGTACGCTTCTTCCCCAATCTCAAAACCCTCCCGCGAATTTCCACAGCTCAAAACGCAGCTCGTCCATCATAAACAATCGTGCGAAACTTCCGCAAAGAGATATCGCAAGAAAATACCATCTGCGCTTCCTGCGAACGTTTCTTTGAAACCAGGTACACAGAGACGCGTGTGTGCACGTAACACAGAAATGATCGTACATGCTAATGCATACACTGCATGAGACGTGCCGTGCAGACTGGCAAAAAGAAACGGAGAAGCTTTCAAGCTGCCGAAACTTAGCCGTGGACAATAGCCGATATAGAACCTCGAAGGGTTCGCGAACGAAAGAGCCCGTTCTCTTTTTCAAAAGCGATACACATCCATCCATCCATCGTGCAAACAGCAGTCCGTATTTTCAGACGACCTAAAAAACGATCGAGCGTGCCGCCGCGTTTCCAACTGGACACACGGGTATACGATAGCGGTTGGTCGTCGTTTGGTAGTTTTCTTTTTTTTTCTTCTTTTCTTTCTTTTCTACTCTTCTTTCATTTTTTTTTCTCTTCTTTCTTCCCTTGCGGAGAGACGGGGTGGTTGCTTGCATCTTCCGCGACACAGGACAGTGTGTCGTTCATCTCTCGGTGGCTGTTGCAGGGCCCTTGCTGCACATCCGGCTGCACTCTGCGCAACGGCGATAAGTGCAGGGACGACAACGGCTGCAGAGACGCGAGCTTCTGCGACGGCCGTGGTCCCCAGTGCCCGCCATCCATCAACAAGCCCAACAAGACCATATGCAACGAGGAATTCGTCTGTTACATGGGGGTGAGTCTATACGCGTCTGCTCTCTTGTCGCACGTCGCTTCTCTATCTGGCAACGAGACATTTCTGTCCCCATCTGCAAATATTTCTTTTTACGTAGATCAACGTATACATAGAGGAAGGTTGCACACTTTCATCTATAAATTCAATTGTCTCCGCGATTGCTTGCCAGTAGAGGAAACGTTCCAAACCTTTTACTCTTGTTCACTTTCGACTTAATTTGTGACAAGTTAGTCTGTTTGTAGGTGGACGAACATCGACTTGGTTTGATCTTGTTAAAAAGTATTCTAAATGAAATGCAGTTTCTCTGCAGGGATTATTGTTTGGAAGTTTTGAAAAATTAAAATAGAAAATTTGAAATTTCTTTGTCGATTTCTAATTTCCATCTAGTGTACGAAAACTAACTGGGACTAACCTAATACATGCAGTTTTCATAAATGTCTGAGGAGTTTCAACTGTATTTCTTCTAAGAATCAAATAACACTTTGTGCAACGAAAAATCTGTGAATAATTTGCAATATATTAATTGTATGTGCAATATATGCATTTAATTTTTAATATACGCGTCAATATATTATAAAATACACGCGTAACTGAAAGATTTAATTTTCTATGATAAATACTAAATATTAAACACGGAAAGTGTTCACTTGCTGTTGTTTGAAATAAATTCTCTGTCTCTAATTTTCTGTCTCTAATTTTCTGTGTAAAACTCTTGAAATGGAACAAGAAGAAGAGATATGATATATTCGCAGTGTAATGCCATATATTTGGAAATTTGAATTTGAGATTTCATAGAACAGACGAATTCAGAATAATTTCAACTGTAGGCGTTGAGAACATCTTTATGATCGCAGATGATCAAGCCATGCGAAACCGAGGCGACAACGAGGGGTTGCTACATGGCGAAATACGATCGCGTTTCGTCTAAATTATCCCCGCGACGAAAATGAGACCGTTGCTGTCGAAATTACGGTGGAATTTACGATTTTACCAGGCGCAAAACTAGCTGGCTGTCTAGTTACTTATTCATTGGGGACTGGCTTGCCATTTTCTCGATCGTAACACGAACCACAGAGAAGAAGAGTATATAATAAAATAAAAATAAAACTGCCTTTGAAAAGATATTCAACTGTATCAATCACGTCAATTAAGTCTAATAATTTAACTCAGTTAACAATTCTTCTACAGTTTCATGTGTCAGTCTGTCAAGTTTTATTGAACTGAGAATATTTCTGGACGTAACATAGGAACGCAATGTTAAAGTAGGAATATAGATGTTAATAATCTAGATAGTTAGTATTTCTGAAAATTGAAACGGGAACATCATGTTGCTAGAACTATCAGAATTCGATAGATTTACAATTGTACGCTCTTCGAGTATATTGTGAAATAAATTTGTATCTCACACAAGTTTTATATTCCACTTAAAATACTGACTATTGCTATAGCAATACTGTACTTTAAATTAATATTTCATATATTTTCGTAGATTAAATACACTCTAGAAATTGTTGCACATTCGTGCGTTATTTATTTACAATAAATAGTTATTTATTTTATTATACAATATTACATTATACAATATTCGCAAGTCCAATAAAATTTAGTAGACTGACACGTAAGGGTTTAAAATCATCACTATATGTTTTTTCTTTCGTCCTATCGCGACAATTAATACAGAAAACTCAAAAAAGAACGTACAATCCTGAAATGTAAGGAGAAACGTTTAAACGAACTTCGCCGACAAGGCTTTCCATTGAAATTTTCATTATTCGTCGACCGTTGCTTGCTTCGGGGAGGAAATCCGCGCGGAACTTGGGAAAATCGAAACGTAACAGAGCTTCCACCTGTGTCTAGGGAGCTTGTGGAATCGGTTCTCTCGAAGAACGAAGGGAGGTGAACGAAGAGAGATCCATAGGGGAGCGATCTGGAAACGTACGCGTGGCATTTTCTTACACGGTGGCCTCCTCTCTTTTTCTACAGCCAAATCGCGCTTGGAGGGTTGAGATTTAAGGCTCCGACTGCCGCGCGCACGCACACACCCAAAATGAAATACCCCTCCTTCCCCTCAATGAAATACCGAGCAGTAGCACATTCATCTGTCAAGAAATCTCCAGACTCACCTCTCCCCTTCTCTCGATCGAACCGAAGCTAAACCGCTTGAAGAATACGGATTAGTCTTCGAGTGAATCTTTTTCTTTTTTTTTTTTTTTCGTTCCTTCTAACGAAATTAATTCCGAGAACGAGAACATTGGAGGAAGACGGGGAAATTATTCATCGGACGAAGGATCCTTCCCCCCTTCTGTATCATTTCTCAAGCGGAAAAGTATCGAGAGTATCAAGCAGGTCAGGTACAAGTCTGGTTCTCGTGGGGAACGCGGATTAATTTCCAAGCGAACTTTTTCGAGTGAAATTAACTTCAAAGGACAATCTCGTGACAATCGAAGTTCAATTTGAAGTTCAATCATTGATCAAAAGTAGATGAAAGAAATCTCGAGATCCTTCTAATTGAATGCGGATTAATTTCCCAGCGAGCGAGATTTTCGAACACTCTCGAAAGAACGAAAATAATAATTAATTCACTGATCTTGTAATTATTCGTCCCCCCAGAGATTCCTCTGATCGGATCTGAATTAAATCACGCGGAGAGTCACAGATCGAAATACAATTAGCTTTCCAGCGAATTTCTCTCGAACGAAAATACAACCCTCTCCAAATCTTGGTTATTCCTTCGAATCGTTTCGAGGAATAATTCCGTCTTTTTCGGATGGTTGCACGGCGGTAAGAACGGCTGTTGTCGAGGAAGGGGGGGGGGCGGTGGGAGGCGGTAGGTGGGTGGTGGAGGCGCAACGCGGCACGGAAACGGTAAAGCAAATTGCAATCGGCAGCCTCTCTCGCTCGTTATTGTACTTGCAGATTAGAAAGCCTGTATTTCGGGAGTATCGATTCGTAGCTGCCGATGCGTACCGTCGAACTGTTGCACGTGTGCGGCCGAAACGCGTTTTCCGCTTGGCTGACTATAATCGAATGTTTCTACTAGAACCTACAACTAGAGGAAATAACCTTGCGCCGTTATCACCGTTGTCCACTGTTCGCTCCCGCGTATGAACCAGGAAGCCAGCTTTTGATCCATGGATAATTTCGATAGTTTTGTGCTACCTTGATGTTGCGCCGCGGGTTAGAATCAATTTCGTTGGGTGTACTCGCTTGAACATTGGTTTCCCGGTTTTTATTTTGTAGCTAACTCTGGAGAAACCGATGATTCGTATCGAATCATTTTCTTCTTCGTGGGATTACGATGTGTATTTGTACTTTACAGGCGATTCAGTTTGATATAGATTATTTAATTTTTAAAGGATTGTTAAGACCGAAGATGAGTAACACAAGTGTCAAATTTTTGTCGCACTTTCTAGCACTTTGTTTCTCATTTCTTTGAATTTCTCTATTCTTAGGTAGAATGCTATCTTCTTAATCCTTGGTTTCTACAATTTTTTAGATTCTTGAAGATCTTTGGAAAATGCATTGCAAAGAAAAGAGTTACTTGGTTATAATTATAGTTGCAGGTATTTAAATAATATATTAAAAAATTGTCCGGAAATTAGGGAACGAGAATTTAACATTCGATTAAATCAAACTCATCATTAACCTTTTGAGTATTTAAAATGAACACATGTAACAAATTAAAAATACTTTTATCTCCAAACACATACCTTTATTCAATATATCGTAATACGTTATCCTCTTCGAACCTATTACTGATTATAACGTTACCAGTGCAACGCTCCAGCACAAACTAAACATTCAAACGATTAAACTATAAATTTCTGTCTTCAAATTCGCATTTCCACAAACCACCCAGTAGAAAAAAAATATCTTTGTCATCGTTCGTCTACCGCACTATAACATGTAATATGCACGATAATAACAATACCGCGATAACCGCAAATACATAAGAATCTCTGACGTACCCATCACAAAATAACAACGAGACATGCGATAATGCTAACCTAGACACACCACGTACGTACGTACATACATACGTAGCCAAAGCAATTACCTGACGTTAACCTATCCGAGGCAGCGATCATAATTTTGGCGGAAATTACTTACACAAATAGTCCGTATTGCGGTAGCGAGGCAAACAGCCATTTTCAAACAGCGAGGCAAACAGCGAAGAAAAGGGAAGACGCTCGCCGCGTTGGTGCAGATGCGATCCGTAAGAGAATAACGTTCGAGAACGCGGGCTTATCTATCTTCGGCGAGACCCCCGGCTGGAAATTACCTCGTATTTAGAGGGTTATGCGCGTAGGCTGACACTTTATCGGGCTCTTGCATTGCTTGCAGGAATGCACCGGCAGCATTTGCCTGGCTTACGGCTTGGAATCCTGTCAGTGCATCGCCGGGCCCGACGATCCCCCGACCAAAAGCTGCGAACTCTGTTGTAAATTGCCAGGAGAGGATCAACCATGCCTGTGAGAGACGATCGTTATGCAATACGCGGTTTCACGCGAACGTTCGCGTCACTCGTTCCCCCCGTACACGCGCTAGGCGATGCTCTTCCGTTGAAATAAACATCGTTCACTGTGTCGCGCGAATTCTCAAGATTATTCCGCTGTGTCGTTCGACTTTCGTCGTTCGTTTCTCGCGAATCCCCCGGAGGAACCGACTGCGAACATTCGCGTGCGTTTTAAACCAAACGAACGAATGTCTGTCACGTAATTTGCGATTGTATTCCTATTCGTTTATAACAGTAAAGGAGTGTCAGCGTGATAAGTCAGGCGACACTCGAATCTTGCCAAAGTGGTGGGCGATTGAACATTCATATCGTTGGTTTAAACTCGCCGTACATTTAAAATTATACATACAGTGTTAAATACAATGCTATGAGATAATTTCAAGACAACGTCGAGTCAAGTAAGACAATGTATTACTTTAAACTAAACACGTTTAATATTTCGTTCAAACGACTAGCATTGTTAGCTGTTTGTTAGCTCGTCGAATAAACTAGACCGATGTCGTTGGACACGCATCTCTTTGCAGATCATCGTTCGCGTGGAATTCAGCGCCTTACGATATTCCTGACATGCTGTCGAAGCCAGGCACCCCGTGCAACGATTACAATGGCTATTGCGACGTCTTCCAGAGATGTCGAGAGGTAATACACCGCTGCACACTCTTCGACAACTCTCCGACAACCTTCCAAATGAATCACAGACTCTGTCACTCGGGCACGAAGATGCGAAATAAAAATATTCAACGTTCTCTTCGTCTCTGCGTTTTAATTATTTTTTCGAATCGTTTCTCGACAATATCGTACGATTGTTTTAGGTGGATCCAAGCGGACCGCTGGCAACACTGCGAAGACTTCTGTCAGACGCTAGTCTAGCGAGTTTTCAACGTTGGATGGTCAATCGTTGGTACATCGTTGCAGCGACTGTTTTCCTGTCGCTGTTGATCGGGGTAAGTTTCAATTTTTCGTTTGGTTTTGTTCTTTTATTTCAAACGGCGAAGAATCCTGCTCGTTTTTGCTATTTGCGAGTTGTGATTGTCTCTAAAGATGACTTCGTGTCATCGAATTAATCAAATGATACAAATTTGCCACGAATTATTCCCGAAATGAACCTTCTTGAACTATCCTCTGTTTAAACATTTTAAATGTAGTATAGTTCGTAATAAACTATACCCTCGTGATCGTAATTACATGTATACATATACACCTCATTTTTAAATTTAAATTATTCTTATTTTCATATTTAAATTTACTACCTTCTCAAAAATTTCGACGTATCGCAATTTGCAATGAAATATATTTCTTCATAGTTTTAAAAACTATCATCTCGAAAATATTCTTTTCTCTGAAATGATAACGTTACATGATACGTAGTAAATTTTCACGTCTTACAGAGTGTTATAACACAATTTTCGTGTATTGCGTTACAGTTGAGAGAAATTCATCTTGATAATGCCAGCCAGAGCGGTCCAGAGCGAAAAATATCGTCGACATATCGAATATCCGTGCGAAGCCAATTACCCGTCTTGTCAATTAAAATTTGTACAAGCGCATAAAAAAAGACACGGCAGTAACAGTTGCGCGTTCTCGTTCCTGCGGAAAATATGTTGCGAACATCAACGCGGAGAGAAACGATTCAATTACGCCGGCGCGATGTTTTCGTTTCGTAAGCCCCGGCGAAATCGCAAGAATATTCGTGTAGCGTTTAACGCAATCGGACAATGAGTCTGTTCAGTTGAAATTCGTTTAATTTTCGGCCCGCGCTCGGCTGATTGTTTATTATTAAAAATGGAAAAATGCACGGTAAATATCAAAAATTTACCGAAATAAATTGCCAGCTTCCGCGCGCGTAAAATTTAATTAGTAGTTCATCCCTTTTTATCCCTGCATTTTCTCTACTTCGCCCGTTTATTTGAAATTTCATACCTCTGTTCAGTTTGATAAAATTTGTTCATACCTCTGTTCACCTTGCCAAATATTCTCGCTGTTGCAAAGTGAAATCTTAAGTATTATAAAATTATTATATAGTAAAAGTATTATTATATTGTAATAAAAAAAAAAAAGGAAATATCACATTCGTAGTGTTGGGAAACGTTAATTAATAAAAATATATAAAAAAAAAAAAAATGATATTCACACTGACGTATAGAAGAAAGTTTGTGAGATAAGAGATAATATTTTTAGGATACAAAGTTATATTGAACAAAGAGCAATTAATTATAAAAAAATAGAATATAAATTATATTATAAGAATTTGGATTGACAGATATAAATTATATAATATTTATATAATATTAGTATTTACAAAATACTTTGGATATAACAATTTGGATTGACAAATATAAATTATATTTTGAAATAGAATATGAAGAAGAGAATATAACATTTTAGTAAATTATTGGCATTTATACTGTCCCTGTTGTAAATTTCACATATGAATTAAAATTGCAAAACGCGGAAAGAACGGCGGATGAGAAAAACATCAAACGAGTCCTTAAAATTCTCTTTCGTAGCTGCATGTTGAAAAATGAACTTGGACGACGTAAATCCATCGAACAAAATAAATAGACTGTCGCGTTGATGCAACGTTGATCCTCTCGTGGATTAAAATTATTTTCAAGAAACCTACAGACGTCGAATGTCGTTTAATAAATTAATCGTTGGAAAATTTTCCACTCGCAGCCCACGATGTTAACAAATTCATAAAGTAAATAATTTAAATGGCGTAGAAACTAAGTCTTCGACCAAGAATTCGCCCGTTTCGGGGAAAGAGATATTGCGACGAATGAACGTTCCCGTGAACGTGTTTGAGCACGGCGATTAAACGGCGAGGAAGGTGTCGAGCGAGAGATATATTGTAAATTCGATTGCACGCAAGTTGGCCAACTTCCGACCTGCGACGGCCACGAAAGCAGCCGGAAATTCATCCGGAGATAGGTTTAAAGTAGCGACGGTAACACGATGCGCCGCCACGAATTATATTATAAACCATATCCCGTGGGAGTTTCCTAGCGGATAATGCAACCGCAAAACTTTTTCCGCGCCATTCACGTCCTAACGAACACGCTCCGAGAACTCGCTCCTCTCCTCTCCTCCTAACCCCCACATCCACCCACCTCCTCTCTCGCTTCGTGACGCGAATTTGTTCGTCAAGTTTCATTATCATTTAAATCTGTCGGAGCAACGACGTTATCCCGCCGGGTTCGTTGTTGAATCCAACTGGATCGTAACGAGCACGATTTCTTTCGTAAAAATATAAAATATGGTTGGTAATCAAACTGAGATTTCAGTGATTTGTTCATTGTCAAGGTTAATATTCTGAGTGTTTGTTTCTTCCTTTTTCTTTAATCGGTCTTAATTTCAGAGATATTACGGCCATATTATTAAAAATATTACGTCCGCATCTTTAGGGCGAGTTTCATAACCTGGCCTGATTTAATTATTTCACAACCAGTGAAGAAAATATTGTTATATTTATAATAACGTGGCAAACTTTTTCTTTTAGAATCTTCCGCGAGTAGAGAAATTTGGTGGACTTCATGAACATTTGTCACGTTTCATATGTTTAAGCGAAATATTCGTGACATTTTAGTCTTACTCTTCTAGAACACACTGGCAAAGTGTTTTAACATTTCCAGACACCCTCCAAATATAAGGGAATAATACTAAGAACATTGACTTTTGCAAAAATTACTCCAAAAATCACCTCGACTCTCGCAATGTTCTCTCACCAATGTTCTTGTTTCCTATTCCGCAGGCGTTCGTCGCGTACTCCGTGAGCAAACGGCGCAACAGCCGCGTGAAAGTTCCGGCGACCGCGAGGGATCAGCCACGCGCCGCTTGCGAGGCGACGAACACGAGCGACGAGGCGGCAAGGGGCAGCTCGTCCGTGCGGAAGATACAATCTATGGACATTTCGTGGGTGAAAAGAAGGATCGTCGAGACGATGAAGAGCATCGCGTCGCCACGACGGAAGAAGGACGCGTCCGCGAGAGCAGGGATCTTTTGCGCGGATTTCTCGGCTCTTGGCCAGAGACTCGACGGAAGAAGGACGCGTCCGCGAGAGCAGGGATTCTTTGCGCGGATTTCTCGGCTCTTGGCCAGAGACTCGACGACCACCGCCTCCGAGGAGCAGTCCTCGAACGAGGCGGAGCAGTTGTGCGAAAGCAACAACACGGGCGGAACGAGGAACGCGACGAAAGAACAGAGTGACGAGAACGAGAGACTCGTGATTGTTTCGAGAAACGAGAGCAACGTGTGGAGACGAGTCCGCGTGCTGTTCGTTGGGAATCGCTGGAAGCGTGCGAGTTCATCCCCGGCCAGGAGAAAATTGAGCAAGGACGAGACGACGTGCGGTGCCGCTTGGAGAAAGACTGTTCAGGTGGAGAAGCTGTGCACTGGTTCTTCGAAGGTGATCGGGAGTTCTTGTAGAAGGGGAGACAGGTGTCAAATGGAGCCTCTGGTGGTGCCTGACACGCCGGACACGCCGGGAGAGACTTCGGAGAACAGGAGTCACACGTCGGATTTGACCGTGTTGCTCGCTGACAGTTAGTTTCAAGAGGAGATATCCGGAGGACTGTTATATAGAAACTGGCGTGCTTCTCGATTTCATCCTCATTCGCGGGTGTCTTCGTTTCTTTTCTCGTTAACTCTCTGTGACACCCCGTGCAATTTGATAGTCGTACGTTTACACGTAACACGTCCATATTTTGAAACTTTATTTCGCGTACTCGTCGCAATTCATCAATACACAATTCATCATAAAAATTATTAATCAATTTAAATTAGTTTGCAGATTTTTTAAGGCTGAAGTAAATGGCTGCGATTAAATAATAATCTTTTACTCTGGGTACAGAGGATTGACATTTGTTACGCCTCTATTTGATCCTCGCGTGGAACGATCATCCGCGAGTCTTCTCGTCTCATTTATTTCATTCATTAGCGAGTGCTTGGTTAATCCTCCAATAACATCGTGTAACTTTTATACGTCTATATGGAAAATTTTATTTCATCTCTGACTTTTATATAATACCAAGTGGCTTATTAATAACAATAATTGGTTCGCAGATTTTTCTATTCTTCTTTTGTAGATTACGAAGAGTCTTCTTTAGTTTATTTTCACATAAAACGCTCGTACTCTCCTCCTTATTTACTTACTTTCTTTATTTTACTTTCCCGCAGCACACTCGTCCAAGCTTAAGTACTTTGGTTTTAAATCTGGCGCGAAAGAGGGCATCGAGTGGCTCCCGGTGTCACAAATCGAGAAATGAAAATGTAAGGGGATGATACTTCTGCTTTTATGGAATCAAAAAAAAAAAAAAGTCGACGATGAGATTTGTAAGTGTAAATATTGTACAGAATCTCTTATACCGCTGTCGTGATAGATTACTTGATAGATTAAGGGCAGCAACGTTTGCGGAATTGAATGGATCGTTGTAATTCCATTTAGTCAGACAGCTCTTCATCTAGAAGCGGACCAAACGTAGATGGGAGATCGTCGTCCAACGCTGAACTTCGTAGACACGTGTATATATAAAATCCCGAACGATTGTTACTGTATAATAAATCGTACGTTACTATTCGTTATTCACCTGCAATCAACTGATCTGTGTTCCTATATAATATTTCATTGCAGCCTACTGTCGTTCCTCGTTTCTTTCTTAAAACTTCATTGTCTGCAAACGACGTCGAGAGACGCGATATTGTTTCATTACATTAATGCGAGTCGTTTAGAAGACAAATCGATCGATTTCACTTTGTAATTGAAGATGAATGACTCGTGAAAGCATTCGAACAGTTATCATAGCAGTACATAGTTTTATGTACATATGTGTGTTGTGTAAAGTGTTTTGAAATTTCATCAACACTGTAGTGAAACCAACCTAAATTGGAATCAATCTAAGAATGTATACAAAAATTTCAAGATATTTTCTGCAAATATATATTTAGTAAAAACTTAGTAAAAATAGTTCCAATGAATATCGAAATAATAGTTATTTTAATACTTATATTAAATTTTCCGTGTCTCGCTACAGTGTCAATTTTTTAACGTTTTACGTAACACATTCTTAACAAAAGTATTGATTGCTATAGTTTTTTAACAGAATAAAAATTGTAGGAAACTCCCGAGAAACTCACCCTCGCAAAAGTTCTTGCATTCTAAAATATTCGAAAAATTTAACGTATCAAAATTTCAAGCAAATGGTGTCAGAGAGAAACAACTTTTGACACTTTGCGTGAGATACTATGCATAAATAAATATTCTTGGCAAGTGTTCGAATACTTTCGTAAGCAGCTGCGCCCGCAATTCTCTGTGTCAGACATGTTCGACCTATACTACTTGAAATTTTGTTGGACACACATTAAATGAAGTACTGTATTTGTTATACAATAATATCGCTTGCGCTAAGGAATTCTAATTTGTCCACTAAGAAATTCATTGTCGTCGTATAAATACGTAAGAAATTTTCTTAACGATTTTGTATCGCCATTGCTGATGATTTCGAGCATATTATAGCGCCTCTGTACGTTTAAACAAACGTTTCCTTATTGTAGCTGACGTTAATTAAAAATAATAATAACAAAGGTTGATTATAATTCTTACTGTACCTCCGCGCGAACAAAAAATGTATACTAAACGGAAGGTAAGTTTACATGCTCGTTGCTTGAAAAAAATTGTACCATACTTATATATGTAATAAAAAAAAAAAGAAAAAAAATAGAAAAAGAAGAGAATGAACGTTTGGAACAAATTTTCGTGTGAATTGATAGTTTGAACAAATAAAAATGTATTGAACTTTACCAACAATTGTAAACGTGAATTAAAACGTTATCGACGTGTGACTGTCCTATTAAACTTCCCATCAGCTGGTAACTTTCTCGAGTACCAAAATTCCTGCAATGACTTCCTTGTTTAACAACTAAATACACGAAATAGAAAATAGAAAAGTGACGATAAATGTAAGATTTAATAAAAGTAATTAAAAAAATTAACTAATATTCCGAACGCTGCTACGTATCAAAGTACGACGTTTATAAGATGGTAAAATCAAAAATTCAATATTGTAAAAAATTGTCCGTGTAAAGCTCGAAATATGATAATTTTCTATGTAAAATTAAAAAATGTGATAGCAAAATGGAATAATAGGAAAAGTTATCGATTGAAATTTACCGAGCGTAGTTTCGTTTCCGGCGTCGCAGCGCCGCGCTTCCGGTTCAGTAATGGAGGCTCTGAAGCCTAGAACTCACACAGCAATTTAAGCCACGTGACGAGATATGAATTTCGTTCATTTCTTTTTTAAATTTGCCTTTCTGAAAAATCTACCTTCGCCTCCCTCCCCTAAAACGTTTTCAACTAAACAAAATTTTCAAACAAATTGAAGGGGAGATCTCCACACGACGATTTGAATATCATTTTTTTATTAACGTTTTGTCAGTTACAATTTTGATTACATACATATAATGTGGATTCTTCTTTAAACACATGTCGCTATAATACAAATGACGAGGATAAAAATTTCGAATGCGTAAAAATGTAATTAGATGACAATTTCTCTCTCTCTCTCTCTCTCTCTCTCTCTCTCTCTCACTCTCATTCTTTGTGTTCTCCCTTATTATCCCATTGGTCGTGGGCCAACTTTGAGCGTATATTAATATAATATACGGACGCTGACCCATGTCCATCGAAGATTAAAGTATATAATTATTCCCTTCCGATCGCAGTTTTTTTTTTTTCTTACTTAAATCGTCACTAATTCGTCTCTACTTCGTCTTTTATTTTTTCATTTCTCTCTCTCTCTCTCTCTCTCTCCTTTTTATACAGTAATAATCGGTGCACATCCGTCGCTGAAGAGTGGTCCATTAAGCGATCCGACCGATGCGCTGATCAAGAGAAATCTCGAAGTATTGTTCACACACACCGACCACGCACAGGCCGAATTCAGAGGACAGGATATTTACAGATGAACAAACGACTTGTCCGTGGGCGTTCGTTCACGCCGCGTGCGGACGTTTTACTTTTATGTACACGTTCGGTTTCTCTTCCGTCTCACCCCTTCGCGTCCCCCCTCTCCCTCGAGCCTCGATCAATACAGATTCTTTGGAAGAAGAAGCTGAAATTTACGAAAATTCTGAACTTTCGCGTTCGAAATAAGACACGGGGAGTTCGAGCACCCCCGTCAATGGCGGGAATCGACTACGAAAATTGTACAACGCGTGCTGTTGATTTAAAATTTGAAAAATCGGTGATTAGAATGGACACGTGGTGATTTGTTAGGATTTAGGAAGGAATAGGGACAGGAAAATTTGAATAGATTTTAATGGAGAATAAGCAATGATAAATCGACAACGAGACGTTTTTCTTTCTCTGTTTTGAGCGTCTCTGAATTAATTTTTCTTGGTATTTTTAAACAGCCTCAGATATTTCGTATTTTTGTTCGAAACGATAATAATTTTCTGATCGATTAATAATCAATCGAATAGCCAAATACGGCTGCTTTCAACCAAACAAAACAAATGTAGTAAACTATAAAAATTTGCCAATTTATCAGGAATTGTTCCACATCTTGTTCAACTTCGTCGATCACCTCACCGTTTCTCGGCTAGAATTTCGCGGAAGATTCACTAAGGGATGAAGGAATTTAGCTACTCAGTGCAAAAGGCCGCGAATAACGCTTTCCAGTACTCCTCTATTTTCCTATCCCTGAGCCAAAATCTAACTGGGACACACCTTTTTGAGTCAGGATCGACGCCTTGCTTTCGTTATCTCCCTCGTGTACATACAGTGTACAGTCGCCCTGGACGGAAAGGAACGATCCTTTTCTTTTTTTTCCTGTCTTCTCCTTTGGATACTTAATCAGTGAGACGAGTGACAATGTCCAACACGACGAGCTCTACGTTCCACAAGAAATATCTTTCGCGATTCGTATCAAGAAACGAGAAACTTATTGAAAATAAATCGAACTATATGCGTTTGAAATTATAAAGAACGAGAGAGACAGAATTTGTTCCCCGTGCAGTTAGAAAATTGATTTTGTGAAATTGCACCGATATTCCCAGTGTCCCCCCGGTTGCCGATCGGAGATGAAATTTGGAAAAAGTGTATGATAAAATCTTAATTTCTACTTACAATTTTACGAGCTCTAGCGTATAAACGACAAAGAAAGGAATACGAAAGTTACACAAGAACAACGTAATAGCAATATTCGCAGAATTGCCCAAACTGTGAGACACGTATATTTAAATACAATTTTGTATTTCTCAAATGCTCCAGATTACGATTCCAATCTTATTTGTCCTTGCCTTTCATACAACAGATTTCTAGAATTCACGGAACTAAGATTTTACCGTACCCTCGAAATTCTCCAGAACAGTAGCCATTCGAAACTACTGATATTAAGATTTTCAAAGAAATCCACAAAGAACACCCGGCTGTTTAGAAATTAGTGCAAGGACGCTCGTTCGAAGGACTTTACTTTCACCAGATTGTGCGTAATATTGAAAAACTAATTTCCACGATCTCGATATATAGTCGACTAGTTGAATGAGGCTTGCCGAGTTCTCCGTTCGGATCTCTGATTCACAAAGATCGTGAATCCTCTTGTCTCGGGAAAGGAAAGAAACGTGCAAAAGTACGAGTGGATTCACGCGATCGTCTCGATCCTCGCCTTCAGAACGAGGTTTGCACAATCCTAGATTCCAGATGATACACATCGTCGAGATTCGCAAACGAAGCGAGGAACGAAAAATCGGCGAGAAGCTAGAAAGAAAACGTACGACGGCGGATCGATATCAATGAAAACAGTACACACGTGCGTAAAATCCGAATTCGTTTACTAGCAGAAAAATTTACAAAGTCGAAGAATGTACAGGGTTCGCGCAATGTTAATGATCGCGGTACGAAAGCGAGAGAAACTCGACAGAAGAGAATGGGTTTTCGTTGGAAAATGTTGGTCGATGCACTTCTCGTTGGCAAAGCGTTCGGTCCTTCCGGCACTCGTCAGAAAACACACCACCACCACGCTCGAACCTTTTGATTTTTTTCTTTTCTTTTCTTTTCTTTTCTTTTCTTCTTTCCTCTCGTTCCTTTTATTTTTTAAATTCATTCGTTCCAACAGAGCGCGACAACGAGGCTAAATACCTTGTCTCAATGTGCGTTCGTTTTCAAAAGTTCGCAGCCTCGAGCTATTGCGATTCTCTGGCTCCGTGTGTGCTTTGCAAACGACTGGAATTCGTTCCCCTTTCGAATTATAATTTCCCTTCCTATGTTATATCATCTATCGTCTCGGTTCTTGCGTGTATATACATATATATGTGTGTATATATATATATATACATATACTTCCGTTTTCCGCTTTGTTCGTCTTCTGTCGCTTCGTCTTTCATTTCTTTCATGTTCTTTTTTTTCTTTTTTTTCTTTTTTTATTCTTTTGTTATTTTTCTTTTAAATTCAATTCACGTAATTAGGGTATAATTAATTAATTAATTAATTAATTATAATAGTGTCATTATAATTCGTAATAATATACAACATTTGTCAATAGATCATTTATCCTAAAACCCACCGCATGCTCGTGTCGAAATAATCAATCGGTCGCATTTAAATCCTGCTTTCTCTCTCTCACTCTCTCTCTCTCCCTTAAACCTTACTCTCTCACACTTTAAAACACTAGTTTTTTTTTCTTTCTTTCTTCTCACACTTAGTCTCGTGTAATCGCACGCACTCTTCGCTCGCACACACCAAATTCTTCCTCTCTCATCCCCTAATAATTTCTCACCCCTGAAATCAAGACAACGCTCGACATCGCAATCGTTTTCGACCAGACACGCTAAATTCTCCGTTCTTTTTTTATTTTTTTATTTTTATTTTTAAGAAACACACTCGTCTCCTCTCGTTCTCCTTCGCACTATTTTTCTACTTCTTTTTCCATTGCTTTCGTTCAATTCATGTTTCCTCTTCGCACACTGTCACGCTGTGGGACTGTACTGGCTTCACGCGTAGCTTATCTATCTAATTCAATCTGTATAGTCGCAAGTGTAAGTGTAAGTGTGTAGTCGTAAGTGGTGTGTCGTTACGCTCCCAGCTGTTCTCCTCATTTTCGCTCGTGTGTCCATCCTCGCGTCTCGACAACACCTATACAAATAACTAAACGAGCGAAAGTATAGGACACGCAGGTGAAAATCTCGCAAGGCAATTGATCGTTTTACTCGAAAAAAAAAAAAAAAAAAAAACAGAATAGAATCGGAGGACGGACGGTCGTTCTCCGATGTAAAAAATGGTGTGTGACCGTGTGTGTATGTGTGTGTCTGTGTGTGTCGTGCATGACGCGTGTATACGATGACTTTGTACATATTTCGGAAAAGAAGTTTCGCTATCGTTCGCTGTCGCGTCCGCGACGCACGCGTGCATCCACAAGTGGAACCACCCGAAAGCGCAGAGTTCAATGGACGTGATGAAACGCCGACGTTCGTGCCCTCTTCCCCGTTGTCTAACGTTCCTCCTCTTCTTCGTCCGTATTCCTGCTGTTGACCAGCAGACGTCTCTATTCGGTCGTCGACGAAGTCCAACCCGAGCCACGAATTTCTTTTTTATGCCTCGTGCTTAAATGTTTCTGTTAGTATGACACGAAACTGCGTTACAAGTGTTTTTCTTTTTTCTTTATTTTTTTTTTTTTTAAATCATTTCGTTTGGCTGACAGAGTAGTTTACTACGAACGACGTAATACGCTGTAACTTCTCCGGCTTCTCGTGGATATCTCGTCAGCTCGTTGAATTTGCTGGTTAGCTCGAACTCGATCCTCAGCTTAAGAATATGCAAACTCAGAAGGCGACTGTTGAAAGTCGACCGTGATTCGAGTTCGAGTAACTCATCCTTTCAACGCATTGCGAATTCGAACTTGCTCCCCTTGATCAGACGGTATTTTCTCGCATCAACCTACAAGACAAGAAAACAAAAATTGGTCTTCCATCGCAATGCGTTAACAACCTGCGACTCGCCCGTGGATCACGCCTCGTTCGACGATCGAACAATCGTCAAGTGGAAAACGAACGAACCAGAAGTGATCAACGGAACGAGAGGAACGATCGAGTCAGCGGTAGATGAGAAAGGACGATCGTCACGAACGATGATATCGGATCGAGGCGTAAAGATCGAACCGGCGATCGCGAGCAGAGCTCGTACCAACGTCATGTCCTCGTGGCGATACCAACCGAGTGCAAAGAAAGAAAATACGAATAAATACAAGACAGCCTCGAGTCACTCGATAAAGCTAGAGCGATGTTTCTTTCTTCCAATTAAACGCGTTGTTGTCTGAGTCTCTCTCTCTCTCTCTCTCTCTCTCTTTACACCATTTTTCCATCTCTCGGTGAATTTCCGTGGTTGAACGCATAAAAACGATTAAAATGAGAAAGCCGTGCGTGTACGTGCGTATGTGAAGGTTCGTGGCCTGCTTGACCAAAAGCAGAGTGAGAGTGAATGAACGAGAAAGTGAGTGAGGTAGTGAGAAGAAGAGAGAAAAAAAGATAGAACATGGACGTTTATATGGGTTTAGAGTGATCGCGTTCGACCACGATTATTGTTTGAAGGAAAGTTTTATATACTATATATATATGTATATATGGTGACAAGGATTTGAGTGAAATCGTCGATATAATGCCCCGTTATGCTTGACTCGAGCTTAACAGCGAAGGAAGAGAACACAACGAATCGCGAAGTTTAGTACAAAAATAGGAACAAACGTATAAGCATACAATAAGGAACATATAACATGTACAAACGTAACGCACAAGGAACTTTATGCTAGAATGATTCATAGTGTACGCAATCGTATGTGGATGAATCTTCGCCATTTCCATTTAATTCTTCTTCTTTTGTTTTCTTATTGTTTATTTTTTCTTCCTTTTTGCTTTGCCATTTATTTTCGAAAAAAAAAAGTTTATGTAATATGTAGTAGTATAGCGTGTTACGCGTTGTCACGAAAGATAAAACGACACAGAAAGAATCACCAGTGGTATGATCAAATTAAGTAACCATTGTCTCGCGGTTTTCGAGTTTTCAATTACGTTACTCCCTTTACGAACGATCGCATACGCGGGCGAAATGAAGGCGCGTGCACATCGTGGAAACGTGTACTGATCGCTTGATGATTGGACGTGGGTACGCGCTGTGCTGTGTATGGTGGTATCGTACGACGGAATCGATAAATAATACGTACGACGAGCGAAACAGCGAGAAAGTACGCTCGAAGAACGACGAGAACAATGTTTCTCACTCTAAAATTATTCTAAAACCGATTGTTATCTCCTGTGGAGACGCACATCGACCTCGATCGTTCGAAACGTATTCTCGTATTTTGAAAAATCGTAACACCGGCCATTCTTGGGACTCGTGTTTATCGGTCGACGAACGCGAAAAGACAGTTTCGTTTGTTCCTTCCCTTCTTCCCTCGATGCTCGATGTTCACAGAGCAAGCAAAAGATAAAAATAAAAAGGATAAAATTCGTTCGAAAGATCGGGGCAACGAAGGGCCTGTGCGTTGGCGTTCGATCGGGCTCCGCGCTTAAAAGAATCTTTCGAATCTACAAAGAGATAAATCCAATCTCTTATACACCCACACCCTCTCATCCCTCTGCATTCGATATACCATACCACACTTTTTCTTTCTCTCTCTCTCTCTCTCTCTCTCTCTCTCTTTCTCTCCTATCTCGCATACGCTTGCACAATACGTACTTACGATATTTACTTCTCTTACAATATTTTTATATTCATTTATTCTATTAATTATATCAATACTGTTGACGGATAGAGATTCATTCACAGCTCGCACCAGAGCGAACGATCGTCTCTGCCATGCGCGGCGTAACCGTTTTCTCATTCAACTTAATTCGATTTTCTTCGTCTCTCATTTCTTTCTTTCTTTCTTTCTTTCTTTCCTTCTTTTTCTCTTTCTTTTCGTCTATTTCTCTCCTCTTCTGCCTCTTTTCATTCATGCTCGTTTCACCGACAGTCAATATCATCCTCCTATTTTTATTTCTTTTTTTTTTTTTCATTAATATACTTTGTTTCTTTTTTTTCATTTTTTGACATAATGTTTTATCACACGCTAAACGATCGGCCTGCTCTACACGTGGAGAAAGGCTGTCACGATTCGATCGCAACGGTGTCTCGTGGATAGTGCCCGAACGAAGCGGGAACGCGACTACTACCGGCTCCGCTGCCACTCCATCCAGCTTCGCAGAATTCGGAAACACCGCGCGCCTCCCCCTGCCTTCCATTCGAGGCTCAACCAACGGCAAACGGTGTGTGTATGTGTGTATGTGTGTGTGTGTGTGTGTGTGTTGTACGCGTGTGTATACTTTTACATGAATCTGTTTCTCCGTGTGGCTGTAATACACCCGCGTACATACGTGTGGCGCACCTCGAACGGAAATTGCGCGTCCATCCTCAGCCTCGAACGACAGCGTAAATCATCAGGTCACACAGCACAAGGACAGACGGTCGTTGAGAAGAAGCTCGTTCGAAGCAAACGCGAGATCGCACTGATTCTCTCAACTCGGTCACAGAGTTCTTTTGCGTCTCACGATCGCTCCACGGTATCGCTTCTAGTTACAACCACATGACTGTCCATTATATATCCTGTCACAACGACGACGACGATGATTCACTTGTGACCACGCTGAGCGAAAAAGTACTCGATCTGTTGTAAACAGATGAGCTGCTGCATCAGGCTTTGCAGCGGGTCTTGGCCCTGCGACTGAGCTTGCTGCGGCTGCTGCAGCGACTGCGTCGGCAAACCTCCACCACCGGTGGGTTGACCAGCAGTCGGCGGCAGCATCCCGCTGCCGGTGCCAGTCTGCTCGGCCAACAATTGTCGCTGAAGCTGTTGCGCCTGGTAGTGAGCGACCGCGACCAGCTCCGAGGATTCCATCCCCATGGAGGCTGCTGCGGCGGCCGCTGCCGCTGCGTGGCCCAGCTGCACCTGCTGCTCCGTGTGATGACCGGACAGGCCAGCCTGATGACAGGCAAGCGGATGTACGCCGACATGCGACAGCCTGCTGGCCGAACAGCCAGACGAGGTCAAGTAGGCGCCAGGGAGGTTAGGATTCTCGCCCCGCTAGGGAGCCATGTTCTTGGGCCTGCGCCCCCGTCGCCCCCTGGTGGGGGGGCGCGGGGACTCCTGGCCTCACTGGCTCACAGCGGGGCTCTTCTTGTCTTGTTGTTGTTGAGTGGCATCCTGTGTTCCCTGTACACCTTGCGCAGCTCCCCCTTGACCGCCTTGAACCCCCTGCAACCGCCGTGTTGCACGTCACGCCTCGACAATCGACAATCTTCCCTCGGCGTTCGTACGTTTCGCGAACGTGCGTTTGGAAACGGTGGCGTTTACCTGACTGCCGGGTCCTCCCTGTGGCGGTCCAGGACCGCGGTCCGGAGGCCAGGAGTTACCCGGGGTCGGTTCCGAGTGGAATTGATGCGGATGCGGAGGTGGTCCACCGGGCGTGTCGTGACTGTGCGGGTCCAAGCTGTTCGTCGCGTCGTACTGCGTGTTCTCCAACCTCGTGATTACCCGTTCGTCCTCTTCGCCAAAGTCCCCTCCCATCAGCGACGGTTCACCGACAACCATCACGTCCTGCATCGACAGGAGAGTAGAAACAGATCGTTAAACAAGCTCGCTCGTCTACGATTACGAATTGTCATATGGACGGACAGATAGATAGATAGCCTTATTATGTCGATTACGTACGATTATCGGTTATAAACGGTTGTCCCGTTATTCCGTTTTTTCGTTAGAGTAAATATTGTTGTGAAAGTTTAAAACGGAGACACACAGCCTTTCGATAAAGGACGCTTCGGCTGCGGCCCGTTCCAAATCTAAATATCTAACGAGTCGGATGGCACGGGGCTCACCTGTGACGCCAGTGAAAAATTCGGTCCCGGTGATCTCTTTTTGCTGGGCGCTGGCGGCGCGTTGTTACCCGGACCCGACGTGCTGCCCTTTCGCTTTCTCCTCTTACTGGCCGGCCTCTGCGACTCTAAAAGAACGAGATAACGTTCGATAAAATTCGCCGCTCGAGCCGATGGTAACTGATAGGCTAGCCATGTAGTAGCGCGCTACGAAACTTCAGACCGCTACCCAGCTTTGGACCTTTCTTCGAAATCAAAGGTCTCTGACACACAGAAGCATGCATGCATCGGTGGACAGACAGAAATAGGAAACAAAAAAAAACAAAAAAAAAAAAAAACAAAAAAAAGAAAGGAGTCCTTAAATTCTATGATCTACCTAATAGTACTTCTTACATCCCTAATAATCTAGTAATCTCCGTCAATGACGGCGGTCGCGTCAGTTGGCTCGTCGGCATTGAAATCGCCATTCTTTCTTTCTCTCTTTCTCTCTCTCTCTCTCTCTCTCTCTCTATCTATCTATCTATCTATCTCTCTCTCTACTACTTTCTAGTATTTCTTCCGACTACGAACATTTGATACCAGCTCCGCTCACGTTCGTTGCGACCGCCGCCACTCATCAAGGCCTCGCGAGGCAGTAGTATTATTGATTAATATTATTCAGTAACTATGCATCAAGTCGATCCATAAACGTATTTTATCTCGTTTTCTCTAACCGTCTTCTCGTCGTCGCTTCTATCGTCTCAACTCAAGCCTACCCTCGTTTCTAGTGCTGTTTCTCTTGCGACAAAACACTCGAACATAAGCTTCTCATCCCCTATCCGTCTTCGTTCTCACCCTCTCTCTCTCTCTCTCTCTCTCTCCCTCTCTCTCACCCCCTCACTCTTTTTCTCTCTTACACTTTCAAATCGGTAGTTGTTCGTTCGCTTAGCATACAGTATACGCATTAACGAACGAGTTCTCGATCGATGAAATAGAATACTATGACTGGTATACAATATCGGAAAAGAACGGATCAGAAAATACGGAATGGCTAGTTATTGCACTCGTACGGAGGAGAGTCGATCCTGGCCTGCTTCGTGTTGCTTAATTTGAAAGCGTATAAGGGACTGCCGCGAGCGTCTCTCCGTTCAAAGCGCCGCCGCTGTTGTCGAGACTATTTTTCAACTAGTAACTCCGTGCAGATTACTCTGCACCAAACGGATCTCTCGGTACGAGGATCGATTTGTGACACGGGGGATGCTGTGCGCGAAAGATCGATCGAGAACTTGTTCGAGCAATCGCGAAGCGCTTAACGAGAAAAAGAAAAAANAAAAAAAAAAAAAAAAAAAAAAAAAAAAAAAAAAAAAAAAAAAAACAAAAAAAAGAAAAAAAGATACTCTCGATAGATCGCCGTTCTTTCATCAATCAACAACAACAAAAAAAAGAAGCTAATTAAGAAGTGTCTGCACTCACGTACAATGTACATATTTAGAATCTTTACAGAGAAACACGCATCACGCGTTCGATGTGAGTCCGCGGCGTGCGCTCTTTACGACTTCGAAAAGGCGGGCTCTCGGTTCCATGATTTCGCCGACCTTGAACACGGGGGCGCCGGATAATTGCGAGGTAGAACGACGCTGGTTACGACGGCGTAACAGGAAACGCGGTGCAACGCGTACGCATGATAAAAACCGGCGATAAGCTATGGTAAGGAGAAGTGGCTCACGCAACGTCGATCAGGGAAAAAAAAATCAGCCACCTATCTAGTAGCAACCATCTGCACCAATCGGTATATCGTGCATCTGCCCATCTTTTCTTTCTTTCTTTCTTTCTTTCTTTTCTTTTCTAGAGCGATTTCTTTTGGAAATACGTTCCGTTTGTGTGGTTGGATGGTTCTAGCGAAAGGTGCGCATCTTTTTATACGAATTCATCGCCTAATAAGACACTCCGCTCATAAGATCAATAAAGTTAACTATTGACGATTTAAATGTAGATTTTAAGCATTTATACTTTTGTTCAATCATATCAAACGCTCTGGTTTAAACTAAAGTTCGTAATACAACGAAGAAGGCTAGCTTTTATCTGTAGAATCTAATGAAAAAATCACTAAAAATTCACCACCACGAATCTATAAATTTTGTCAATTTAAAAATGCACACAATGGTAGAAATCTACAAGCTTTCCAAAAGAAAAAAGAAATTAGAAATTACTCATTTGCTCAAAGAGTTCTTTCAACTTCTTAGTTAGTATCTCGAACTTTCCTAAATCGTACGCCCTATCGACGACGATAGAGGACACGCGTTCACCGCGAAATCGACGCCATTAACACGTGGCGAGAGTAGAAAAAAAAAAAAAAAAAAAAGCGAGACGCTTTTGTGCGCGAACATTCGCGAATTTTCTCCTCCAGCCGAAACAACCCCCGACGAGCAAACGGGGCGATTTCCCAATGGATTACGGTTTGGTAGAGATAAAGGCTGATATAATAGGATCCCGGTCGAAGGGAATAGAAGTTTTTGGTCGTAGAAAGCGATTGGAACCGAGGCTCGTGACGCGGCAACAGACGTCGACGACGAATATTCTCCCCGTCGTTGAACGATCGAAAAACGAATCCTGCGGTAGACTGGTCGGCCGTTTGGCTCCACTGGCTGGTGCTTCTCATGTAAAGCAACTGTTCGTCTACCTCTCTTACCCGGCGGGGCAAACGTCCTCTGCCATTTCTGGAACAAGGTCGTCTTCAGGCAGTCCCGCGGTGACAACGCGTACGCCTTGTGCCTCGACATCAGTTCTTGCATCGGCTCCAAGATCACGCATAACTGGAAGAAAAGAATTCGAGGAATTCTTATTATTTGGTTCCACATTCGCGCGCGCTAGCTCGCGATCTTATGGTACTGCGTTTTAATAAATGTTCGAACTCTACTTCGTTCTGTTCGATTTCATGCTTGCGATTAGTTATGTGTAGTTAATTATGGAATTATTTAGTTTCGACTAAACTCGACTGATTCATCCGATACGATCCTCAATACCAAATAGAAATTTGCTTCGCAATTAGTTTCGTATAAAATTTTTTTACACGTACTTAAAATACTTTTTTTTTTATCACTTCGTGCTTTTTGATTTGCGTATTATATTTAGGGCAATATGTAGGGCACATGAGTTTAAAAGTGTCTATATGACGCGGTGAATATGTCAATCGAAATTTTGCTTATTCCACTAATTGAACTACCATTATACCAACGAAAAACACTAACTGGAGAAAAACCGATGAACTCTCATAGCACCAACTATTTATCTCTCGACAAGAATAAACAAATAATAAACGAGCATTTGACGATTCGAAACCACCGAGATCTTCACACGTTGCAATACAAATACAAATCCTCGTAAATTACAAACTAGCATATTCAAAATAGAATTAGCAGTTCCAGTTCGATTCGCGAACTCTTCCATTTTGACGGAGAACTCTTTCGCCACGAACACACATCCCCGGGTGTGTATCGCAGATTTATCTATCGCAGAAATCTCCGCAAACTCCAAATAAATGTCACGAGAGGGTATCGAATGGATTCGACGCTGGTCCATTTGTATCTTCATCCGGTGGGAACGGGTGCGAAAATCGGGAACGATTTTCCTTTTCGCGGCGCGAAAATAACGCGGCCGGCACGTAGAAACGAAACGGACGCGACTGTTATTTAATCCGACGCGAGTTCGACAGGGAACTTACGCGCGCTATTAATATGAAAATTATCGTATACGGCGTGTACCCGGTTGAAAATAAACTTCCTAAAATATATTCGCGCCACGATGCGCGCAGCGTAACGCGCGCTCGTGCACGCGCGAGATCGCTCGTTTCTGCCGCGCCATCGTTCTTCCGTGTACGCCGTTCCAAAGCAAATTAAATTTGGTTTATGTTTGCCGTAATAAAACTGAAATCCATTTTACATTATTATCGTAAGCACGTAATTTCCCGGCAGCCTTTATATTATAATGATGACAATTAAAGTAATCGATAGCGGTGGAACGGGGAAAGGGGGGGCGAGAGAGGGTGAGATTCGCGCGTTCGGAGCTGTGTCCGAGGCTGCCCACCACCCCTCCTGCCACCGTCCCGAAATTTTGCAAAACTTTAATTTCATTTTAATTAATATTCGCGTTAGTACGGTCGTCGCCATCGGTCAGGTTTCCGATCGATTCCCCTAGCCCTCTCCTCCCCCTACACACCCCTCTCTGTCCTGTTCGTCACACGTCGCGTATCTACTCTACTTTTTACCAGGCACTCGCCGATTAAATTATTACGTATAATGCACGGTGATATGATAATTTAATGAGGTGTACAATTTTTCTCTCTCTCTCTTTCGTTTCTTTTTTCTTTCTCTCTTTTTAACTGAAAGAGAGAAAGACCAAGTTACAATTACAGAAGATTTTTATGAAGAAAAATAAAGTAGCTTCGTTTCTATCGAGGGGTGTTTTTTCAATGACTCGTTTAACAGCGAGCAGCGAGCTAATATTATTCAATCTTCACGCGCGTGAAAACTATTACATATGTATAACTGTTAAGAGTTGTTCCATGGATCGGTGAATTTACGCGGGGAATCACTAGTTATTTTAAGGATTAGAGTTTCTGCATAACTTGGCCCGCAACTATACCGATGGGAAATATTTTCTCCAGTTAGGTTGTCGACGCAACGAGAGTCGTTTCAGCGCAAGTGAAAGCGCTTCCGACTTGCGGCGCGCAGACGAAGGTGGATCGTAACCCGGATACTCGATCGGTACTTTCGCGAGCCGATCTCCTCGCCATTCCTCGCCCATTCAGCCCTTTTACGCTCTCCTTTCGAATAACGTATCATTCACCGTATGTAGGAAGTTTAACCCTTTCGCTCCGGACGAACGAACATTTACGTGGATTACGCTCGTTTCAAACTAACGTGACAATAAATATTGCAATATGAAGAATCAGTAGAGTATTAAAAATATTAAAAGTACACCAGCGATCAAAGAACTATCAACGATAAATATATTGATCATTATTAAAAGTAACAAACGTCCTGAGACTTTTAAGCGACTTTTAAGTGAAAAATGAACAAATATGCGTGTATCGTGTCTCGTCTCATTTCATAAAAACCACATTTCTCCACGCATTTTTTTTTTTTTTTTTTTTTTTTATTAAAAACATAGCATTTCTAGTTTTCATAAATTCCCCCGATAGAAATTTCGGTCGCGATCTTCGAGGGAGCGAAAGTGTTAAATAAAAAGAGGCTCTGCGTAGATCGTGCGGAGTACGTTTTCCATAAATCACCGTGCAAACGTACGGAGGAATCGTAACACTAGGACGGTGCCACGAACAACAGATCGTTGCTCGTAAAACCGAGCCACCTTCGTCTCGCCACGTTTCACACGGCAGACAGTTAAAACGCATACGTACCCTAAGGTAATTCAAGGTGGAATTGGTGATGCCCTGCCTTGTGATGTTCTTGCTAAGCTGCTCGAGCATCGTCGGGTCCTGTTGCATGCCGACCACGGTCCTCGGCACCAGTTCCTTGTGCGTCCTCACCGACATGTGCCACGACTTTATCCTCATGAGGTCGTCAAACGTGAATTCCAATATTAATCTACCCTCCGTACATACCTGTAAAACAGACACGCGTTTCAAAACCGCCCCGCTAGCAAAATTGTGTTCTCTCCAAGCATGGAGTGCTCACGACAGAGGCATCAAACAAAACAAAAAAA